CTTCAAGAACATGGCCACGCAGCCCGGAAGACCCACACCAGCCATCGTATGCCGGCCGTGAAAGCCTTCGACAATACATTGAAATCTTAATAGCTTGCTGAACTTTTAGATAATAATTAGCATTTTATATTTCATTTTAAAGGTATAAAGGATTTAATGTCGACCGCCTGTATAGTGCTTATATGTATTATGATTATGTGCTATTAAGTCAGTGTCGACTCTTAGTGACCCCATAAATAGATTTTTCTCCATGACAATCTGTTCCTAACCTGGTCCTTTAGGTCTTTCAGTGGTGGATTCATTACCACTGTAACTGAGTCCATTCACCTTCCTGTTGGTTGTCCTTCTCTTTCCTTCCACCTTTCCCAGCATTAGAGGCTTCTCCAGAGAGCTGGGTCTTTGCATAATGTGTTCGAACTAGGATAATTTGAGCCTGATCATTTGTGCCTTGAGTGAGAACTCTGGGCTGATTTGTTGGATGAGCCATTCGTTTGTTTTCTTGACTGCCCATGGTATTCTTGGGACTCTTCTCCAACACCAAAGTTCAAAAGTGTCAGTACTCTTTCTATCCTGCTTCTTCACAGTCCAACTTTCACTTCCATAGAATGTCACAGGGAATACCGTGGTTTGTTCTGTTCTGATCTTTGTAGGTATAGACACATCATGGCATCTGAATATCTTTTCCAAGGCCATGGCTTCTCTACCAAGTGCTAGTCTGTGGCATACTTCTTGATGCTTGTTCCTTTGCTGTTGATAGTTGATCCTAAAAGGCAGAAAATTCTCAGCTCTTCCTCAGTAGCACGTTGAGTGCCACCCAACCTAAGGGGCCCATCTTCTGGCACTGTATCATTAATCATTTTATATTTTCTGTCTATGTGGTTTTCTTGGTTTAATACAGGAGTGGTTTATTCCTCAAACCCTTGCCTTCTCGTGCGCAGTATGAATTGATGCCTTTGCCGCTGTCAGTAAAGTAATCGTCTGCCTCCAGCATCTGTCTATATCGCTGCTGCTCAATATAGGTGTCTGCTTGCTTTAGCTGGGCAGCTGGGACCTTCATGCCTTCAATGCTCGAAACAAGTCAATATTTAAATACCATACCATTATAATTTAGAATAAACTATTCTCTTTCCTTTTTCTCTAGTTATATTTTACTATTTTTTACTTGTTAAATTTGTATCTTACATTTCCTCTAGGAGTTCAAGCACTGTATATACCATTCTCCCCTTTAATTTTTCCCTGGAACAACAATTCTGTGAGGTAGCTTGGATTAAGAGAGTGATTGGTTCTGAATCATGCAATAAGTTTCCATGAAAAGCCAGTTTGGTCTAGTGGTTAAAGTGCTGGATTAGGAGCAGGAAAACCTGAGTTTTAGCCCTGCCTTTGGCGCATAAGCCGACTGGGTGAGTTGGGCCAGCTCTTTTTATTGAGAGCTAGTTTGGTGCAGTTGTTAACAGCACTGAGCTGCTCACTGGGAGATTCTGAGTTCTACTTTAGACATGAACCCAGCAGGGTGCCTTTAGGCCACTCTCTCAGCTCTAGGAAGGAGCCAATAGCAAACCACTCCTGAAAATCTTGCCAAGAAAACAGCAGGGACTTGTCCAGGCAGTCCCCAGGTGTCAGCAAAGGGACAACAGCAACAAAGGTTCCATAGCTAAGGACAGACTTGAACCTGGGTTACCCCAATCCTAATCCAACACCTTAATCACTATAGCATATTGTTATATGCTAAGATTTCTTTGTATGGTAATTCCCCAAAGACGGCTAGCTGTAACTGTAGTTCATTAATTTTGAAAAATATTTTTGTATGAGCCTAATAATGGTAATCTTATACTTAGCTCCTGTTAACCAAATTCAAGGATAGAATAGTATGCAATTAAATTCCCATGTGGTAGTTCCTATTAACTTTGATTATATAGGATTTTAAATTTTATATGTGAAAAGGTTTCATTAAGTTTCCAGACTGAAATTGATTCACTCAAGAAATAATTGTTTTGTCCTGCAAGATTTTATACTGCTTAATTGTATATCAAACTGTTACAAAGATGACCACCCTATAACAGATTAAATATATATTTGAACTTTTGAATCTTGATCCTTAGCTGAATGGATGAGTAAATGTAATATAGATACTATTGTTGTAACTGATGCCCAAATAGCATTATCAATTATTACAAGAAAAAGTCATATTTTTTTCCCTAGAAGATAGTGAATATCTATGTATTAAAGGATCTACTTTTTTATAAAACAGATGCAACAAGGGTTTGAAGAATCTTTTCTTATAAGTAGACATTTCAGGAATGTATTGCTTGGAATGCCTTTATGACAGTGTCTTATTACTGTTTACACTTCATGGAAAAAGAAAAGTTAAGAAATTAAAAAAGAAAATTTGGGGGAAAGAGTTAAGGAACTTCTGAGCACGTATTTTTTAATCGTAATTTTTCCAGTACTTCCATCTCTGAAAATACATAACCTGCTCTATCAGCTCATTTTAGTTTTCTTTGCATGTGGATCAGCAGAAAGTTAAGAAGCCTGGGCTGAAACCTGATTATAGGGTCCCACGCTATGTTAATTCCGACGTTTCTCTCTCCGCCCAGTTTTTATCCATTCAACTCGCTATTTCGTCTGAAACGGTACACGGAAACAACGACGGGGTTGACTGAGACCCAACCCATCATAATAGCGACATCAACCTGAAAGTGTGCCGGCTGATAGCAATAACGTTTAATGCAGACACGCAGCTGCAACCGAGCACCGCTGAAAGTAAACTTCGCACCCTTCCTGGTTATTCTTGAGAGGCGGCAACAGGAACGCGCCCAGAAAAAAACGCAGCCGGGCATCTGACGGGGAACACGCGGCCACCACCTCCCTTTTGTAAAAGCCACCACAGGCTTCGGCAGATCGATGAGCAGCCCCCGCCCCGCCCGCTGGCGGCTTGGCGTGGCTGGTCGCTAGGATACCGGGTTCGCTTCCAGAGGAAGTGAGGGGAACAAGAGAGAAAGGCCGTGAGGGCCACTGTCGGAGGCGCCGGAGGCCGGGAGAGGCGGGCGAGGGTTACCCTGCATGGAGGAAGCCCTCGTGGCGCTTATCTGGAGGGCCGACGGGATCCTCCTTCCTCCCTCCTGAGCCGAGGCGACTGTTGTACGTTAAGACTCGTGCAGGAGCGGCTCCCGCTGGCGGGGCCGTGGGAGCCGGGGCGCGCGCGCACCCTTGGCGCCCGGGACGAGCGCGTGTGGTTGTGAAGGTCCAAAGCTGTGGTCATCGAGGCAACGCTTCTTCGTGCTCTGGGTCAAAACTGTCGTGATCTTGGCAGCAGGGACTGTCACATTCTTTTGAAAGCCTTTTTAAGAAGAAACGTCCTTCTGGCTGCCCATTCTTCTTCCCTTCACCCTTTTTGTTTCGTGCTTCGCTTATTCCTGTCATTTTCACAACTCCAGCATCACCTTTTGCTTGACATAATCTGTAGTACAGCAGGAGATTTGCAGAATAATTTGATATTCCTTCTAAGCACAAGACAAGTTCTTAACCTTCATGTATCATTTTTTTCTCCTGCTTTCTGTAGGTAACATCAGTTAACATCATTGCACTCAACATGTGTTCAGCAGACCCAGAACCTGAGAGTCAGGTTAGTACAAAATTCAGTTCAAATGTTTTAAATGACTAGATTTAAAGCCTCACACTTTTAATTTCTGAGAGTAGTTGTCGGATGGGTGGTAAAACAAAAACTAGGGTCTCTGGGTGAGAGTGGTGAACTTTTAGATTTTTAGGAGAAATGTGATGAAGAGGCATAATCTGGATTTTGGGTGTGATTAGAAGAAAGCTCTTTCAAGATCAAACTTGAAATACTGCATATCCAGATATTTTCCCTTTGGTCTCAGTGTTGCTACACAATGGTAAATGAGTTTCAAATATACATGCTGGCTTTTGAAATGACCAGAAATCTAATTCTTTCCACAGCAGTTTAAAGAGCCATATGAAAAGTTCATATATCAGCATCTCCAGTACTACGGTTACTTCAGAGGTAAGAACTCTGTTCCCAATCTGATGTTTCTGGTTTTTTTACATCTGTAACATTCTAGAGCAAGAGATACTGCCTTTGTCAAAGAACTAGTCAGGGATTGCTTTCCACTGCTTGGTTTTATTGTTTGAACATTAAGGAATCCTTAGTGCTTACTGTTACTTATCATGCAATAGTTGCTTCATTCATGTAATTCTGTATGGAGTCCAGATGGCATTAAGGACTTTCATACTTACAATTCCTACTGCAATGGTGGACAGCATGAGGCTCAAGGCTGCAGTTTCTGTGAACCTCCTTTTTAATACCCTGGAACCTCCACAACTTCTGAGAACTGACAGCAAATGAAATATAGTGTAACACTAAAAGAAACATATCAGCTAAAAATCAGCTCACCCTTGTCCATTGTCTGCAGTCCATAAGTGAGACAGGCTTAAATTGTCCTTAGCTGCACTAATGTTAAAATAGTAATTTCTCCTTTATTCTGACACCATCCAAGGTCAGCTTCAAGGTATATAAAATCTATTAGGTTTTGCTACCTATTACCATGGAGAGAGACGAGATGACTAAACAGTAATTGGAGACAGTATAGAGGCAAGACAGAGATCAGCAATGGGCACAGCAAATTTTGTGCTAATGTAGTTTTCTGCCAGCTCACGGATAGGTGGATAACACTTTAGGCGATAAGTTCTAATATGAAAGAAATTCTGTTTTTCAGTCAACTTAAACTGTTGTGCTTGTAAAATGAGGAAATACTGGGAAAAACAACAATAACACTTTAATGCAATACTACATATTACTACAGTCTAGTATATTGGTTAAAGGCACTGGGTTAGAAATTTGGAGAGTTCTAGTTCTGCCTTAGGCATGAAGTGACTTTGGGAGAGTTACTCTCTCTCAGCCCTAGGAAGAAGACACCAGCAAAACACTTCTGAAAATGTCGCCAAGAAAACTTCCTGGACTTGTCCAGGCAGTTGCCAGGGGTCAAGACTGACTTAGAGGCACACACACATATGTATGAGACACTATCCTTTTACTTCTAACCACTCTGAAACAGGTCATCCTCTTTCAATGATGTTTAGGGATATAGGGAGGAGAACTATAGGCTTTTCATTCCCCCTTGACTATGCCTAGGATGGTATCAGTGAAATTTAATAGAACATAGTTGATACTTGATATCAAAAGTTCTTGTATTTTTTTCTAAAATAAGGATTGAAATTGATGAATAAGACTCTATTTTCAATCTCAAACCTCCTCCACCAAAAAACAAAAAATAGGTAAAAAATGTTCACCCTTACTACCTGTGACAGCACCATATTACCAAACCCTCAGTGACACTTGGAGGCCAAAATAGTTTTTTCAAATACAGCCTTCAGCTGAAAAAATTGCCCACCCTTGAAATTGTTAATGCACATCAGATTAGACAGAGCAGTTGAAACTGGCCCTACGTACATACCAATTTCAAGGGTGGGCAACTCGCCATCATGTAGATGATATTGGACTATAACCTACATCAGTCAGACTTCTGTTTATGCGTAGAGATTCCATCTGGTTTTCCCCACTATTCCCTAATCCTCCAGAATAGATTTAGGGCATATGATGGTAGAGGGGTACAAGGCAAAGTGGAATCTGTAGACAGCTGCAGTTGAATATAACACATTAGCAACTGTGCCAATGTCTCAATGTATATTTCTTGACTTTTTAATGCCCGTATAGTAATTCATTGAAGGCTTATAGTAGTTTTTTTTTTTACTTTTGTTCAGGTTAATTATAAATAACTGTTCTCATTAAATAATATTACAAATTTTTCTTCTTAGATGAGGAAAATTTTCCTCACAAGCTTAGTTTTCCTCTTGAAAGCTGGGAGAGCTCATGCCACGTATTGACATCAGGCAACTTCTACAAAAGAGATAGAGAAGAACATGATTCAGACAAGAACCTACTCTGTAAGTAAACTGAATTGTTAACCTGTTGTGCAAGTCATATTGAAAATGAAAGAAAACTTTCACTAAGTATCTGTAAAGAAAGTAGTAGCATACTGCAAATGTTTTTTTCTTTGGCAGGTTCACTAGTGATGGAAACCACACTTCTGAAAAGTAAACAGCATATGCTTGACCAACTAGAAAGCCCTGGTACCTTGCACTTACGGGAACCTCGGAATCTTTTTTCTCTTCCTAGAAACAGAAATTCAAAATTGACCCCACTCTGGCCAACAGAGTGTGAAGTAATTGAGGATCGTATCTATCACATTGGTAATTTGAATCTCATGTATTTATTGCAAGGATAGAATTTTGCTGCATATGACTGCAAATCACTCCAGAAATAACCCTGCAAATTTAAGAGAACATAAGGACATGGGAATAGCCCTGCTGGGTCAAACCAAGTTCCATCTTAGTCCAGCATCTCACAGTGGCCAACCAGATGCTTCAGGTGATCAAAAGTAGGAGACAGAGACATGCCCCTGTCCCACCATTGTTCCCCTACAACAAACACTTGGAGGCATGCTACCCCCAACCTGGTGGTAATATTGAGTATTTAAGACTACTAGTAATTAATAGACCCATCTTCCGTGAATTTATCTGATCCCACTTTAAAGTCTATCCTGCTAGTGGCCATTACTATGTCTTGTAGTAATGAATTCCACAAGTTAATTATGTGCTGTGTGAGGAAGTGTTTTCTGTTTGTGGCCAGATGGCAATGCATAAAAGAACAGGTCCACTTGTCCTATGACTACTAAGTTTACTCGACAGCCTTTGTTGAGAAATGTTATCAAAGGCTTTTTAAAAATCCAAATATATAATATCAACAGGGTCAAATCCAAATATACCGTGTTGACAGTCATTTTTATTCATGTCCCTGATGAAATTTTCAAAGAACTTAAGAAGGATGGTGAGATAGGATTAACAGTTTGGAAAGCATGCTGATTTTCTTTCAGCAAGGCTTATTTCTTTATGCTTAATTAGCTTTTTAAATAGGTATTTAAAATTGTATTATTTGTATTTTCAATCATTTTTCAGAATACTTTCATACTCAAAATAAAAAAAAAATCCAGTTTATAGCTCTATGATGAGAACATTCCCAATTTTTTATTTAAAACATAACATTAAACCTTTAGTTTGGTTACATCAAGAGTTGGTAATTTATGATTTCCTTGAAATTTTAGAGTGACTTCCAGAGCATCATCTTCATTTGGCACTGAATTTCAGTCAAAGTCTGTCTATCCTGTTTAGTACTGAAATTTGGTGGCAAACTACAGTATTGTATTTCAATAACAAACTGCTTCAAAAAGTTGATAAATGAAAAATATCCAGGATGGAATGTATTTTACACCTTTTTAGATTTTTAAAATACCTAGTTGATGATGAAATGGTTGAATAGGTACATAAGTGTTTTAGTGTATTTAAGTAGTTGGCTCAGAACAATTGATTTTCACTGAAAGAGGAAAATATATACAGTGGTACCTCGGTTCACGAACTTAATTCGTTCCGCGATTCTGGTCGCGAACCGAATTGGTCATGAACCGAATCAAATTTTCCCATAAGGTTCAATGTAATTATGGTTAATCCGTTCTGAACCATATGTTTTTTTTTTTTAAACCGCAAAAATATGACACAAAGTACAGTACGAAGAGAGAGAACGCTAACCTTGCTCGACGTGACTTCTGGCGTGGAGGACAGGAAGGCGGGTGGGGAGGTGGTTACTGCTTAGACGGAGAGTCCCCCTCCCTACAGGAAGCCGCGACCACGTG